TAGGTTTCTTTTCCTCCCTTTCTGACCCTTTCCTTTCCATCTTTCATGTCTCCTACATACGCCCACAGTTTGATTCCTTGAGATTCACCTGGAATTCATCAGTATTTCATCCCAATTCATCCTAATTTGTTTTTTTCGAGAATGTTCGTTCTTCAACTGGCAAAGTGGTCTGATAAAGGTGGTGCCATTAATGGTCGCCTTTACAAGGTCAAATTGGGTGTGTTGTTCTATCTTGTGGCGGATGTGTTGTCCGATTTCGTGTGCTGCAACAAGAATCAAAATGGTCTCTGAATAACGACTGCAGTCTTCCGCGGTTGCCGTCACGCTGGACAAGAACCTCCTGAACCCCAGTCGCGCGCACGTACACAAACTTCTGTATCACACTTGTACTACTTTTCATTGCGCACGTTTGAGTGGAACTTGTGTTGTAATAAGAGGCTCTGCCTAGCTCAGGCACTGTCCAAGCATCGGGCTCGGCTTCGGTCACGCAAAGCAGTCGAAATTTTTGTTGGTCCAGATGATTGTTAGCATTGTCTACGACAGAACTCGCTGAACCTCTATCTCAACTGGACCTATGAATGTCATTAAGAGAACTGATAGTGGCCCCAGAAAGTCTATCTAGGCCCTGTCTTTGACCGCACAAAGAAGGCACGGACGCAACTCCACATAGGGCTGATCAGCATGGACCTGCTCATTATTTCACCCGTTAACACTACTGGCCAGGTTTCAGCTCTGCACATATTAGCACATACTTTGTCAGCCCCGCTGGGGTGATATCTCAAAATACCGGAAAAAGAGCTACATATTTGCCTTCTCTGCGCTCCTCGCAGATAAGGCCCCCGTACTGCTTAGCACCTTACTGTACTTCAGGAGGGCTTTGGGGTCGCCAGGAGCTTGCAGTGATGCACAGTAATAGGCAGATTTTAGAGTAAAATTTTATCGACGCATATTTTCAAAGAATATGTGAGCCGAGACATGCCGTTCTCTGGAAGAGCTACTTCTCTTCGGCTACCATGGCTTGCTACAGATTACTCTCCCTGGTGTTCCAGTGTGGCATTTCCGCTACGCCATGCCTTCCTGAGAAGAACTGGCAGATATTTGGATGTCCGGTTGATTCACGCAGCGCTCCATTCAGTCTTGCTCTACTACTGAATCCAGCATTGAAATGACCGACCTCGGGCAAGTTCATTCAAGTCTGGTGGCGTCCATGTCGGGTATTGGGAAGCTGTGCGAGCACTCCCTTGAAACGAACTAAGACTATTAACGTCATCACCGTTGTGGCGCATGTAGCGCTGGACCACAGTGGGGCAGTGGGGACTGATCTGTCAATTTGAAAGAATGGAGGCTGAAACGCTGTTCAGCTCCTCCTTAGGATCCCTCAACGATTCTAACCGCCAGCAGAACTTGTGGTATTTCGAAATGCATTTTGAAAGAACGGAATGGCCTGCAGGAGACCAGGAGGCGCTTCCGGAAGTCGGGGCGCTTACATGGTTTCTGGCAAGTACCGCCCTAGTGTAATGCAGCAAGGCCATAGAGCTCTTCGGTTGACGCTCCACGTAGGCCGATTCGCGAAGATTTCCATCCCTAGCTGTGATAGGGTAAGATCCAGACGCCGCCCGGTAGTTCACACTCGCACGATTGTCAGGATTTAGCCACGCCGGCGTAGACTTACCATTTATGCCACTGACTTTGATTTCTGGAACTGATAGAGAAAAGTGCTTAGTTTTTTTGTGTGTTCTCTTCCCAAGTAACGCCCAGGCCTCGAGACTGGTAAACATATAAATGTTTCTACAGGTTTTTTTTTACGTTTTGGCAAGGGCTCTTTGTTTACGTGTACTTTGTCTCCACGACTGGCCACGTATGAGAATTCAAAAACAAGAACGCTCATTGGGGAACCTGTTTGACTATTTGGCTAAGTGCAGGTTCAGTTCAACTAATTCATCAAGTGCAATCATCGTACTTTTTGAGTAACTGTCTGAATAGGACGATGGGTGAGCCTTACTTTGTGCTTTAATGTGTGAAATTTACGGTCTCTAAACGTGCTGTTTCAGATCACGATGGTATGACTGGTACAGAAATGGGGGGACTTTCACTTACGCTTGCACCACTGTTCTTCTCACCCTTGCTCCACTCCTGCAGCAGTATCTCGAATGCATTCCCGTCGTGAATCTTTGGTCTTGCACACTTTCGGAATCTTGCAGCACTTTCGAGTCTTGGCAGAAACCATCATGCACTCCCTAGGATGTCACTCATGGCTTGTTTTCAGTTTTTTCTGACATCTTAGGCCAAAGAATGCCTGTCAATAGCACCCTATCAGTTCTACAGTCTTATATTGCAACATTTTGATTTTTTCTCCAAGGAGTCTCTTGTTTTAGTCTTTCATTATGAGACGCTTACTATGAAAAGGTATTCCTTTAGTATTCGTCCGCACTGTATTGTCAACGTGCCCTCGAATACAAGCGCATACCATGTAGGTCCGCTGAGCTGGGTCAAAAAAGTGCTGCAAGCTGGTTCTTACAAAAATGATGATTTTATCATCGACTGGCACCTACAATTCATTCCATTATCAAAGCTTCACCAGGACTTTGGATGGAAGCAGATTCATGGCTAGTTCCAGAGAAGTAACTTTTATATGCCGCGAGGTCTATCCTTTACTCTTTCAGGCCCAGGAGGTTCTGCTTTTTCCGCGCGTATTTCAGCAAACCTATTGGAAAACTAGTAAGAACCCTTCGTCTTCCCTCATCTTCTCTAATATAGACCTCGAGCATCATAAATCAACCCTTACAAAGCATTTCGAGCATCGGGAAAAATCAACCAATGGGCCGTTGATCTTGGAATGATAGTGCGGATATAAAAATCGTCCCAGTCAATCAATGAGCCGTTTTCGATGCCACATATTTTTCCGGGTTTTTAGACAGCTCTTAGAATTATAGAGAAAAACGAGGCTTTCAGCTACTGAAACCTGTCTTCTATTTTTTCTCCGAAATTTGCCTTAAACCTCTCTCAGTTAATATATACTCCTTATCCCTGACCAGAGTAGGCGTGGCATTTGAACATGGCACGGAACTGGTTACTCGTGGAATATTCCAGTCTGGGACAACTGTCATCTTGTTCTGTGTTGGACAGAGACACGACAACAATTGTGTCAAGATGAAAATATCTCACCAGAAGCATAGACTCCTTCAGGTTAAGTTGAAGCATGCAGCCACGCCTACCCGATATCAGGGCTTTCGCGTATATTTTTGTCCCTAAAGGGCTGAACTATAGCCCGATCTCGTTTCCACTTTTCAATCGCCACAATTTGCAATTCGCAAAGGGTTTTATGGCTAACCGTAAACGCCCTGTGTTATCTAATTGATACGCCGAGAAACGATTCTGGTTTCTGAGAATTTCTTTGTCTCTCTAAAGTCGACAACAACGCAACGTGCGGCAAGCGGAAACAATGCGCAAGCTTCGCGCTTTTCTCCCGTAACATCGGATGCATTCATTTTTCGGCAGCGTTTTCGGTTTTTCCCTGTCAATGTTCTTTTATGAGGGAGTTAAATGGGGCATTGTGCTGGTCACATGGTTGGCTCGGAACAAGACAAAGGAGGAGAAGGAGTTAATATTGTAGGTACACATACATAGATTCTTCCGACTGCTGCCGTCAAGGGTGATTCTGCGAGGGAGCAAACCCAATCAAAAAAGGTTCTCACGGAATAACCAAGTCATTCAAAGCTTTCATTTCTGTACGTTTCACACTTTGCTGTG